TTTTTTTTTTAGCTAGAAATAATGAAGCGTGTCCAAATCTGGTCCCCAAGGGCTCCTGTCCTGCATGTTTTAGATATCTCCCTCCTCCAACACACCTGATTCAATGATCAGGAATGTTATCAGGCTTGCTTATGAGCTGATCATTTGAATCAGGTGTGTTGGAGGACGGAGAGATGTGAAACAGGCAGGATAGCGTCCCTCGAGGACTGGAGCTGGACATGTCTGCGTTAGACAAACATGTGCCTGTTTATTCTAAGCTATCGATCCATCCATCCTTCTCATCGAGTAAAGGTTCACCTTTCTCGCGGTCGGAGCCTTCGTCGCCGGCATTCTTGACGTTGACCATCGCCTCAAGGTTGCAGTGCGTGGCGATTTCATGCTCCAGGTTGGTTGTCGTTTGAGTGTACTGAGCTTCGAACTGAGCCTTTTGCTCCTTCAGCTTCTTCTGCTTGATCTGGATTGCAACGCTAAATGTCGAACACAGTACAGTGAGTGAACAGTTCAACACTTGCATTTCGAAGGATAAAAATGAAGGATTTATTTTCCATTCATTAGTTGGGTCCCAGGTGAGCGAGCTTTTCTCAACTGGCTTCGGGTGATAGGACGTGTACACCTTGGCCCGGTGGCCAGTGTAGACTAGAGGTGTTTGCAAATTGCTTAAGAGAACACCAAGTGCAGTTTTTCAATCAAAGTATCTGTAATTCCTACATGTGTCCACTGGAGGGCGCACAAGGATTTATTTTCCATTCATTAGTTGGGTCCCAGGTGAGCGAGCTTTTCTCAACTGGCTTCGGGTGATAGGACGTGTACACCTTGGCCCGGTGGCCAGTGTAGACTAGAGGTGTTTGCAAATTGCTTAAGAGAACACCAAGTGCAGTTTTTCAATCAAAGTATCTGTAATTCCTACATGTGTCCACTGGAGGGCGCACCGACGCAGCATTTTATTCATATGAAAATGAACTTATACTGTCCAAGTATTTGAGGACAGTGAATTTTACAGAGTGCCTGTCAACAGCATGAGTTCAAAAGAGGTTGGACTGGTGGAACCCTTTTATGTTTTGTCCATTCCCTGCGATAACTGCACTCCTCTTTCTGAATAGTTCCCAGTTTCGTTTGTATGGGGTGATGAGTCAGTTAAGGATGTCAAGAGTTTCAGATGGATGTGTACATTTATGTCACTTTGAAATGATTTCAGTCTCATAACAAGTTGTTTGATAAAAAGCGACCTGTTTTTGGAATGTGGGAGGGAGTACCAGGAGAAAATCCACATAAGACCAGAGAGAGCATGCCAACTCTACACACTCTTTTCTCCTTTGTAGTGATGGGCAAGTGAAGCTTCATGAAGCACTTGTGGTAGTTTTTGACTCCTCTAGATGGCACTCATGGTTTAAAGATGCAGTGAGAATGTTAATACATTCCATTGCACCTTTATATTTAAACCAAGATCACCATCTGGAGGAGTCAAAAATATATCACAAGTGCTTCATGATGCAGGGACTCCTGCTTCCTCCCACATTAAGCAAACACACATTTTAGGTAAGTTGAAGACTCTAAAATTGTCTAAATTGTTGAATTGTGAATGTTTGATTGTCTACATGTGAATTGGAGTTGACTGGTGACCAGTCCATGGTGTACCTCACCTCTCGCCCAAACTCAGTTGGGATTGGCTCGAGGGACACATATAGGGGTGGAAATATGGGTGGACACATATAGTACATAAACTGAGTGATCATATTTACAAGTCAAGAATAGTTCCCTCACTTACGATTGAAAGAAAACAAATTCAGAGCAGCGTGCATTCACTCACATAATGTCTCAAGTGGTTCAAAATGGCTAAAGGCAAAACAAATGGAATGAGATGTAAAGGAGGATTCACCTGGCATTGTTGGCTTTCGTACACATAGCGCTCAAGTCCGAAATTTCCTTGCGGATGGCTTGCAACTCCTGTAGAAGACAAAATGGGCAACATCAAACGCACATTCCTGCAGTTGCAAGCTCAAGCAATGGAGGTTTCGGTGCGGTGCAAAATGTAGTTCTCAGAAACATTTCAACAGGAACATTCACGGGGCTGACCTTTTTCAGTTGAAGCTGTATTTGCAGGAACTCGTTCTTTTCCATCTCCAGAATATCTAGTTCCTTCTTTAACTGCCCGTTCCTAATCATCAGCTCATTGAAGCATATGTGACCCTTTAAAAAAAAAAAAAAAAAAATCATGACTACTTTTAGCTTTGAATGATGGATGTGAGGGATGAAGCCCGAACCTTGTACAGTTTGTCCTCTTTCGACAAGATATCTTTTATGGAAGTGTCTTCACATTTCGTATTATGCGGCGCGGTCCCCCCTCTCTGTGCGACCAACTTCCTCTCCCATTCCAAAATCTGGGAAGCAAGCAAAAGATGTGTTGGCATGACACTACGCAACAAGAACGCAACTGTTTTAGCACGACCGTTCTAACCTGCTTTTTAAAAGACACCAGTTTGGTTTTGTTTGCTAGTAGCTCCTCCTCTATCGTCTCCTCGCTGGACAAAAGGGTATCGAGATCTTGCACAGCGTTGACTTCTTTCTTTTGGTTAGAACTACTCTGAGCGATGGTGAGGATGTGTAAAAGTTCATCATGTTCAGTCTGGAGCCTCTGGATCTCTCTGCTGCTCAGACAAGGATAAAAGCAAATACACTCGCATTTCAAGCCAACAGAGCAATGAGAATTTATGTTTTGGTATGGCATGGACATGAAAAAGGAATTGAGGATTGATAAAAAAAAAAAATTACAAAAAAGTAACCCACTTGCCTGTCTTTCAGAAGGAGGCTTTGAATTTTGTCATCGTATGCCTGTTTGTCCTTTACAGCTTGACGAAATTGTAGCTTTAATTTGTGCAGGTCATTTTCAGCTGCAATTAAAAACAAGAATGCAATTTCATCCTAGTCCCATTGTTTCGCGTGAGACAGAGAGGGCAAAAACGTCCTGCACTACAGATACCATTTACAATAACGTACCTGATAGTTCTGTATTTTCAGGCCCCAAAACATGTTTGCAATATGTAAAAGTCAACAGTCAAGCCATCGTCAAGCATATTTTCTGAGGATGTAGGATGACTTTAAACAATCATGCATTGTTGTTGTTGGTGCAGTGTCACAGCAGAGGTTTGTTTTTCATCTGGCAGCTTGTTTCTAACCGATAAGAACCACAAACTGTGCGTGATGTCACTTACGATTTTCCTCCTGTGATCGACCTCGGGCAGACCGTTTCATGTTTCATGAGAGTGAGAGCGCGCCTCCAGTCTACGAAAGAACACAGCAGTTGGTGAGATTAAAGTACTTTTTAAAAATGTTTTGCATGACTTAAGTTTATCTTTTGTCAAATAAAGTTGACCATATTTCAATACAATGGGGCAAAGCTAAATTATACGTAGCAAGAATATACAAAGAAAACCCCACCTTATCCCCAAAGATAGTACTTTTTAGTTACACAAGAGTATTGCGCATTTGCACTAAATTCATTCTTCTAATGTGACTAGAATATGTGACTACATTAATAGCACATTTACATGTCATTATTTTAGTGTGACTAACTGCAGATAGAAATTGGATCCATCGTCTATTTTGTATACCGCTTATCTTTATTAGTGTAATGAGTGAGTTTGAGCTGATGCTAGGCGACTTCGAGTGGGAGGCAGTGTACCGTCTGGATCAAAATTCACACTCACATTTCCAGAAGTGATCTAAAAATTGATATATTTCAAACCCAAACCACAAACTATCGGTTTTCCCATTCAATGTGCACCGAGACTATCGACCAGCACATCCAAGTCGTGATTATGTGACGCTTGCTTCATTCAGTGTGCAAGAAGAGGTGAGAGTCGCGGCAGGCAACCCATGACAACACCCCTGCCCACAAAGCTCTAAACTTCTGACAGTTCCTGGCCAAGAAGGCCATCACCATGCAAGTGCAATCTCCGACTCACCCAACCTGGCTCCTTATTTTTTCCTTTTTCCCAAGATCAATGGAGTTATCCAGGGAACAACATGGCCCTGATGACGAAACAGCAGAGGATCCCGGAAGAGTCCTTCCAGGACTTCATGAAGGCTTAGCAGAGAAGGCTTGGAAAATGTTTTGGACTGCAGGGGAATTAATTCTTTGTAGGGGAATTTGTTTTGTGACAACAGTCCTGCAATGTTTTACACAGACTTTGCAAACAACTCAATCAATATACTTCCCAGTTTTCCTTAACTGTCATCATATTACTATCTTAAGTAGACTATATTTATTCCTTACCAGATACCAACATCATAATCTACTGTTTTACTTGCATTTAGATTAGATTAAAACATTTGTTCAATCTGTTCTCAATGTTATCTATCTCCTTCTTTATCATCAAAATATAATTTAAAGTTTAGTTAAATTTTTAAAAATTGGGCATAGAGTTGGGTAAAACCTGAGAATGCTGCTTTGTCTCCCCCTGCAGGTTAGCTGAGGTTGCTAGCTCACGTTGCATCACGTCCAACAGCCCACTGAGTACACGTCCGCCGAGTCATTGTCGTGACGTCAAACTAACGTAAAATTAACGGGGGTCGGCTTCATTCAAAAAACAAACAAAGAACAAAAACATTTCCAGTTACTAGTTAACGTTTGGGTCGCAAAGGCGGGTTGTGTTCTTGTTTGCTCACGGTGTACGTCGACGGTAAGTGAACGTTGATCATGACCGCGGTCGTCATGTCCAAGCTAGGTAGCTGCTCCTGTCGTGACGTCACGCGCCAGCTGTGTGCTTACTTCCGCGTTTAATACACAGCGTGAGGCACTGTGATACAGAGTACGGGGTGGATGACATCATTGTTCACTTTCTTGAATTTACTGCGCAGTAATAAAAGGATTTCTTTCTTTGCTCTCTATCTGTCCATCTATCTACAGTATGTCTTTCTTTTCTGTTTTCTCTCTTCTTCCTCCTCTACCCAGCTACCAACCAACCAACATTCATACTCGTGCTATACTTTTCTGACAAAGAGGCACCCCAATTACTTGGCAAGAGACAAATTGATAATGTGAATCACTCAAAGGTGTTCTCCACAATAACAATTCGGTACTGGTCAATGACAACAGCTCGAGAAAGGCGGGACGTTCGTACAATACTTCGAGCTGATTGGGCGATGCCACAACCTGCGCACTCCTCCCTAGTTTTATTTATTTTTTGACCAATCACTGCAATGGATGAAAATGTCCACGCGTTGAGCAAACAGAAATATCAAACTCTTCTCAGCTCCAGTAGGTAAAGAAACACAAATATCTTTTTCAGCTAAAATGCTCAAAGTGCCCCTTGCTGTTCTTGTAAAAATGAAATTGGGGAATTCTGCGAGAACAGAATTAATTGCAGCGTCCATGCGTTGGTCCACCGGTCTCGCCACGTTTGGTTTGTTTGTTTACCCCCAGACTCTGCACTTGTTGTTTTTGTCACACCCGCATATCACGCCCCCAAACACACGGTGGCGCGGCTCGGGATAAAATGGATTCTCGGTGTTTCCTGAACTCACAAATACCGCGAGAATTCAAGTTTGCTGGCAAGGTTAACGATTCAATAACATCCACCTCGAATCATGTGTAACACAAAGAATTATTATAGTATTACGATTACAGCTGACATCCTGACAATTAAATACAGAATTAATGCACAGGTGACCACTATCTAAAGGACAACGATAGGATGGTGACAAGAATACCTACTAAGATTAAAGTGTAAGACTTAAAAGTGCAAAAGAATTGGTGGCAAAAAAGACAAATTTTAAGCACATTCCGTGCACCTGATGCTGAGTGTCAGGAGGTTAACTTAATTTTCAATTGTGCTCAAATAATATTGTAAACAACAGCACACTATTAGTGGGTCTAAGAAGCTCCTTTGAATCATTTAGAATCAAAATTTTAGATGGTCAGGTTGATGGAGACAACATTTTTGTAAAACGATTTGGTGAATAATGGTGAAAGATAAACAACGCACGCGCACGCACACACACACACACACACACACACACACACACACACACACACACACTGCATACAAAAATCAAAAGTACTGTTCTTCCTCACTGCCTTGTTAGCACCACGAGTGCCTTACATGTCTAGGGCATTTTATTTCTTTTTCTGACTAAGTACACAGTCTTTTATTAAACACACATTTGAAATAGACAATTGATTATAGAATATGCCGGATATAAAACCTGGAGGATATCGTTAAAATGGGATCCTTTTCAGAACAGGCTCCGCAGGTCTATAGTGGCAAGAAGGGTGTGTAGCGCAATGATGTCATGACTGAATCACCGCAAACTTTGACCTGATGCGTGTGTAGGATTGCACCGAACTGTCCTTCGGTCAAGTCCAATACACATACAATATGTATAACCTACATGCACGTCAAGACAGAGGTAAAGGTCAAACTGCTGTTGCCTTATCCTTCCCGGAGTCATTTAGTCCTCACAACAAAACACACGCAAGTGCCTGATTTGCTCCAGGAGCTTGCCCTGTGAGTCACAAGCTGTTTTTTGAATGAGTCAACTGTCAAGAGAGCCCACGCCAACCCCCCCCTCGCGGCCCTCCCTCGCACACGGGGGCACATGTCGCCCACGCTTTTACGTGGGCTTTCAGCTCACCGTGGCATCACTTCCTCCCTCTTTAAATCACTTATGACACATCTTCAAACAGCCCAGAGCAGTGGAGATTTATTGGCTGGCGCGGTTAAATCCATTGACCTCAGTGCTACAGCAAGGTTTCAGGAAAAAAAAAATCTTTTGACTTATCCTTCATAATCTACAAAGTATGTTTCTCTTTTTTTTTTTTTCTTTCCGGAGACATGCTGTGACGAGTGGTGGCGTGTGGTGAATTTTCTGCTGAATTAATAGTCCAATAATAGTTCTTGCTCATGGTGAGTCAACAGGAAATGATGGAGCGGGAGTAAGGCAAAGGAAGAAACTGGAGTGGAGGTTGGAAGAACGAAAGGAGAAAATACAGGGAAAAAGAACGAGTGACTTTGTCATGTCCTAGGATTGTGAGCTATGCAGCGGGGAGGGACACCCGCGCACATAAACACACGCACACACACACATCCAAATAAAATTCAGCACACACACACACACACACACACACACACACACACACACACACACACACACACATCCAAATAAAATTCATTCAAGTCAGTGATGTTATTGTCATTAATCTGTAGAATAGAGCAATGGTCCAAGGGTTCAGATGTCATAGCTTGAGGGTCTCCCGAATTAATTTGCTATAAATTATGTCATATCATTTAAAAAAAAAAAAGTGCGTCCTTATCTATGATACAAATGACAGGTGCGTCCATAAAGCAAACAAATTGAACCAATTGGTCCTGCCTACCTTAGTTTTGGGCTTCGAAAAGCCCTGATATGACTGTGACTTATCATTACATAAATCTAACATCCTGTTTAAATAACGCTTTATTTATTTATTTTTTTTTAAAGAATAAGGAACAGGAATCAAGTCCTATTTTCGAGAACAAAAGGTGTACTGCACTATTTTAAGAATACATCCTCATTTTAAGAGTCTCATGGCATCTTTTCCAGAATAAAAGCAGGCAGGTGAGGTTGTGCTACGACCGGCGTAATATTCTTTCTAATACTATAAAATTGAGATTGTATTTTTTTAAATTTACGTCAATATGATAATGTTGCGACTTTATCTTGGAGAAATCGGACTATTCTCATGTCTTTATGTTATATTTTTATCCAGACAAATTTCATCTTTTTTTTTTGGTACTTCCGTTAACTATGAGAGCGGAGGATTATGAGAGCAGATTCTCTGAGGGGTCCTGGACCCAAAAAGTCTTAGAACCCCTGCAACAGAGATATGACGCTCTCATGACAAATATGACACTGCAACTGACATCTCGGATAATGGAGGTGGTTACTACGAAAGACTTTTGACCGCAGTACAAGTTGTGAAAATAATCCCCTGTCACATATCACATTTCGATTTATTTAAACCCTCCTTCTTAAAATGGACTTTAACCCACAATAAATTGCAAATACGAAATGTACAGACAATAAGAGCCCCGCAAGTTTGTGTGTGAGTGTATGGAGGTTAGGTGTGGTCAACAGCAGCTCCTGCATGAGCCTGCTCCTCGTGTTTATGCGCTTTAGTGTTCTGCCGGCGATTAAGAAACATCCGAAAAGTGCATCAGCACACCTCTTGCCAAAAGTCGGCCGGAATAGACTCCAGTTCACCATTTACCTAAAAGTGATTTAGTGGCAATATAAAATGGATGGATGAATAATTTGTAGTGTTGAACAACTTTGCTGCTTCATACTGCATGTTATTCATCCTCTCGAAAATGATAACTTTGCCTTTAAAGCCAGTGATCAAAGGGACCCATCAATCCTCGGCCAGTCCTCCTCTTTTTCCTACGCGGGGTGGTGGATGATTATTTGATAACTGAGCTCTATCCCATCCCATGAGGTCAAAGGTCGTGTTGCAAGGCCCACTCAGACATCCGAGGAGCTCGATTCTTTCCCGCTTCCTCCTTGCTGTCAGAGCCACTGAAAAAAAAAAGCAATTTAATGAAATGATTGGCATGTTTTTTAAATCCCCTTCTGCAGTAAGTCGATTAAGTTTGTATATGAATGAAGAAAGAAAACAGGCGTACAGTTTGAATGAAATCATTACTGTTCCATGTCAGGCTGACGGAAGTTGTGGGTGGGAGCACACAACTGCAGTTTCTCAAGTGTTGGATGATGCCGCACCTAGTTCCACCATTTTGTAGCCTGGCAAATAAGATTACTCATCAACTCAGGAAATCTATTTTTTTTGGGAGATGGTGGGCCACTTCATTCTCACCAGTAACCCACACATGTATGAATCCTTAAAAGACAGAACTTCATCCATCCATGCATCCATTTTCCACACCGCTTATCCTGAAGAGGGTCACCAGAATTGCTCGAGCCTATCCCAGCTGACTTCGGGCGAAAGGCGGAATAACCCCCGAACTGGCCGCCAGTGAGTCACAGGGCACACATGGAGACAAACATCCATACACACCCACATTTGCACCATCACTGAGTGGGAACGGATCCCACGCTGCCCACATACAAGTCACGCGAATGCACCACTGATACGCCATCAGCGACTTAAGAAAAAAAAAAACAACTTTGATTTTATAATCTAAATTCAGGCATTGCGCAATTCAAGTATAGTGAGTTGACTGAAAACACCAGTCTGGCTGTAATTACTATTACATGTTTGTACACAGCTGGTTCTTCTATAAGAGAATTCCCCGTGACACTGTGTCAGCAAATCAACTGAGCACAGATGTATTTACCATGCCGCATGTATGTTAACACAAACATTTGAGATGGAAGACAGATACGGTGGAACCTCTGAAGTTAAATCACAATCTGTTCCAGTCTTTTCGTCTGGCAGCACAAAAAAAAAAAAGATCCGTCTTCCACCAGTCGATCGTAGACTTTCATTTGAAGGCTCTCGTTTGGCCGTAGGCGTGAATGGTTGTTTGTCGCCAATTGACGTTGGAGTAGCTCTGTAAAATTGCCACCGGGGAAAGAAATCTGTCATGGTTTGAGAATCCAAAATGGCTGTCGCACTCCTCCGACACGATGTACAATGTACGCTGTCCATTTCTTGAAAGTGAATTTGCTCTTCACAAGATACCCAGCGGACGGCCTGCTGCCAACACCGCTGACGAAAACCTCAGAGCTCTAAAAGCAGGCGTCCACACAAACACAGGGAAAGATTATCCTCAATTCAGCGGCTGTGTTGGAGGGCAGTAACACTTGGACTGACTTTAGCTTCAAAAGATTATGGTGCTCAATAGCCAGTCCAGTTTCCGATCTGCTTTATCCTCACAAGGGTCGCGGGGGGGTGCTGGAGCCTATCCCAGCCGTCTTCGGGCAGTAG